GGCTTTTATCCGCCTCTGACCTTAAATCTCATTTATAGCGCGGCAGAAAAAAGGCAGAGTTTAGCCGTACAAAAGGACAGGATGTCGTAACGATCTGTAACAAAACCACGAGAGGAAATGACTGTAAATTTCCCTTTTACCTTCCGAATACCTGCCCTCCCCCCATTTGCTGCTCCCAGCCCGACCGTCTGTCAAAGGTTAGCCGTCGTTATATGAAGGCAGCCGCATGCTTATTTTAAAACGTTTTCCTGAGTAGAAATAAACATAAGAAGGTGACATAAGCAGTGAACTTCCTTAGCCTTTAGCGTCGACAACGTGATAAACCTGTACAGCTCGCTTTAAAGAACAGGCTTCGCTATTTATCTCTGCGCCGTGTGAATACAGAGCTTTTAAGTAAAAAAAAAATCTAAACGCTTTATACCTGATTTCATATAGAAAATTATTCACCTGATAGGCCTATGCAAGTGGCATAATTCTCTTTGTTATTAAAAAGGCTTTGTATTAATTTATTTCCAAATTCGGTTCGATAGAATACACATTTTTTCCTTTTCGCAATATTGATAGGCTATCTGTAATACATAGGCCTACACGTCCTGCCAAAAAAAAGTTTATTTCATATGATTTTGAACATATGAGACCCATATATCTATACAAACATCTTTTTCCGGGGCCTAAATGAAGCGATTAATAATCTAAAAACCGCGATGCTAACGATTCATGCGGTTATAAAGGGCTAAATCTAATTTGTCTGTGATCCTGAACTGGATAAGATGGATGCATGGAGATATGCAGGAATCTTAAATCAGTATCAAAATTTCGATGACCTGATAAGAAAAAGTGTTCTTCCTGTGCAAAGTACATTATCGAGGTTTTTGCATGGCTTGGAACCTGGAAATGGGATTAGCACTTGGCAAAACACGGGCTCACGTGGCAGGAAGCATCACGCAAGATGAGCGAAGCAGCTTCAGCTATATCTGTTTGGTTTTACAGTCCCGATGATATTTCTGGCTCCCCTGGGGGGCTTTTCTAACCCGACTTTTCACAGCGGTGACGGGGGGGTCGGTCGCCACACACCAGCCGTCATCTCCATACCCACCTTTGCGCATCCGTGCTGCGGCGCGATGGATGAGCTGAACTGTATTATTTTAAGTCTGAAAGCCATGCCGGTGAAAGTACAGGTTTGGAGGTTTGGCAGTCGCGTGTTATTGGGGGTAAACTTTGAACAGCAATATACAGCAACAGGACACTGATAAGAAGGCGAGGGTCAGAAATCTCCGTTTTTTTTTTGTTTTTTTTTTTTAAAAAAGCATCTATAACAGGGAGCAGAGTAGCTCCAACTCTTCAAATATTGACTTCCTGGTTGTGTAGAAAGAGGGGAGGGGGGTTTAAAGTTTGTCAGAAGGTGTGTTTGTGTGCTTTCTGAGCTGGGAGGGGAGTCAGCGGTGAGGAAAGGTGAAGGAAAAGTGTGTGTTTCTGTGTATAGCCAGGAACTCTCTACGTGCACCGTAACCTGTGCCACATATGGGCCAGATTCGTGCTGAGGGGAAACGTGTGATTTGACATAAAAATGCAGATCTGCTCAATGTATTTCACTGGTGTATCCAACCCGGTGGTCAGAGAATCTTTTTTTTTTAATGTTCCTAGATGTGGGCTGGGTAATAGGAAATTGATAATAAAGGTTTTACCCTTCATTTGAGGTTCATGTAAAAGGAGACTGTTGCAGATTGTTTTCTTAAATCCAGAAAAGAATAAGATAACAGAATAAGAACTTCCAGAAGCCGACAGTAATTTAATATTGATTATCAGGAAGTGAGTGAAGTTGGGCCATTTTCATTCCTGAGTATTATGGTCCTTAAGTTAAACAATCACACAGTTATTTCATTGTATCTCTTCCACTTTCTGAAAACATATTCATTCTCTCCCTCCAGGAGTAATTAGCCAAAGCAAACACTGGGAGCGATTATTTCCAATTCAAATACTCCTGTAGATCAATGTTTAATCAGCTATGTTTAGAAACGTTGAATTTCCTTTCGTAAAAACCTCTTTCCTTAATATATATTTCAGGCCCGGTTTGAAAACAGATTTTATCTCTTAACAAATTACAGGTTAAACTGTATACTGTAACTAGTGGTGCCTTTTTTCCAGCTTGATATCAGATTTCATTTTCTTGACATTTTCATGTTGTTTTTCATTTAAAATTATGCTTTGGCTTCCGTACAACACATGACTGTATTTATTATGCAGTTTAAAAGGCAGGACCTGGATATTAGCATGTGTGTATAGAGTCCCCTCTTACGGGATGCCACATGTTTCCGTGATGGGGGGCTCTTGGGGAATACTGGAGGCGGCCACCCCCTTGATGGACATTTCCGGATCAGCTCCCACAAGGAAGCGGGAAAGTCGAGACTCTGGAGAGAGCGTGACCCCCCCCGACCCCTCTTGAGGAGGAGGAGGAGGGACCCCGGGTGAACTTTGACCCCACGCGGAAAAGGCCGTGGGGTGTTCTGTCTCCACGGACTCCGGCGCAGGTGTCTGACGATCCAGCCCCCTCCTGCATGCCCCCCCCCCCCCCCCAGGGGTCCCAGAGAGGGGCAAGACCCTGCACACTTATCACGTGCAAAAAAACAAGCCAGATCAATGAGGGAATAGTTCATCCGGCTCTGCAGGTGAGGGGAGTGCGATCATACGCTTTCTCTGTGGTACAAATGGCCCGGTTTCTGGAAGCGCCGTGTTCTCCCCGTGACTGTCTGGACTGGGTCGGCAGCCTGGGAGCGCAGCTGGGTTTATGTTTATCTTCCCCGGACCGGTTCCACCCACTGGATATGGGATAGCTTTGCCCACCTCCTATCCTGTGTCGCCGGGCCGGCTGGTACCGATCCAAAGCTGCTCTACAATTACGCGGCCGAAATTACACACGGAGCGAAGCGGTCGAGGCCACCGAACGCACACCGCGCAGCCGAACGCAGTTACTTCCCATTCTTGTGGCAAACGGGCCGCATTTCCTGCGCAAACCAGCCGCGCATCAGCATCTTGTTATCTTGGAATCCGTGGGCGGATTATAATTTCCGCTCTCGGTCAAGAAACATAGAATTTAGGTCAACTAGTGTCTCTAAATTGCCTGTGTGTGAGTCTGTGACTGGTATCCCATCTAGAGCGTTGCTGGTCTTCTGCACTGTGCCTCCTCAGATGGTTTACCACGACGGATGGATGGATTTATGGATGGATGGAAACTTCTTTATTTTTTAAGAAATATTAATATAATAACAAACAGACTCCATCATGGCTGTTGCCTTGAATGGTTATATTAAGGACATATTAATTATTTCTGCGATAAACCGTCTATAATGATGAACTTAGGTTTTAACCTCATTGCCAGGATATTCAGCAATCGGTCACGGGCTTTGGCCCGGTCAGTGCAGACATGGCGGCCCGCTTTGGGCACCGATCATCTTTCTGTGCGACGGAGGTTTACAACAGCAGATAAGGGAGATGAATCGGTCTGTGTGTGGCTGGGACGCCTTACCGCACCCAGTGCTCAGTGTCACGTGACCCGTTGAGACAGAGCCGCAAAGACGCGAGACCTTTGATCCGGGGTAATGAGCAGAGCCAGCAGGAAGCCCGTGAGTTTGTTCACCTGAAAAAACACGCAGCGGCTGCTGTCTTTGTGTCCCATCAAAAAGCACCCCCCCCCCCCCCCCACATCGTGCTCGTGGACATCGCAAGAAATGCGTGCAGAGACCTGGGTTGGGCCGGGGAGAGAACTGCAGGTGCAGCCGTGCGTCACTGACCTGCGGTGGCCGGAATTCCCCTCCCCCCCCACTTCCAGGCCTGACCCAACCCTGACCTGACGTCCCCTGTCTCATCCCACCAGCGCATGCAGGTTTTTAAATTGCATCCTGTCCTAGCCCATGAGGAACTGATTTATGCTGCGTGTGTGTGTGTATGTGTGTATGTGTGTGTGCTCGGGCTGCCAGATGCTAATGAGCTTACAAAGGGTCGGGGCTCCTCTGCAAGTGCACACGGGCCTTGGACGGAAACGCCGTTGCATGACTGGCTGTTGGATGCTTAGCAGAAGTTGTGATGACTGCGGATATTTGCGATGCAAGAGCAGTACAGTAATGGAAAGCTGCAAACTAGTTACGAATTACTGTCAGATGCTTGGAACTATTGTGAAATGGATAGGAACTACTGTGAGATGCTAGGAACTAGTGTGAGATGTTAGGAACTACTGCAAGATAGCTAGGAACTATTGTGAGATATCTAGGAACTGCTTTGAGATATCTAGGAACTACTATGAGATAGCTAGGAACAACTGCAAGATAGCTAGGAACTACTGTGAGATATCTACAAACTATGGTGAGATAGCTAGGAACTATTGTGAGATATCTAGGAACTGCTATGAGATATCTAGGAACTACTGTGAGGTAGCTAGGAACTACTGCAAGATAGATAGGAACTACTGTGAGATATCTTCAAACTATCGTGAGATAGCTAGGAACTACTGTGAGCTATCTAGGATCTACTGTAACATAGCTAGGAGCTACTGTGAGGTAGCTAGAAACTGGGAACTAGCCACAATGAGTTAGCTTGGGACTGAGAAATAGCTGGAAATAGGCTACTTAGTCTGGAAGGAGTACATTAGCGTTTGCTCACAGACGAGACCACCTCATCAAGCGAAGACGCACAACCATGTGACCATGTGATACCGTCGGTCTGTAGCAGGCCGGGTCATAAGCAATAACCGATCTGAATTATGGGCTCCGAGGTTGAAGGGGGAGCATGAGGGATGCCGACAGAGGGAGCGGTGATACAACGTGCTGGAGAAGGAGCGACAAAAAAAGCAGTTCATTCTACATGCCCTTCAAAGCCATTCCTCTCTGTAGAGAAACGCCTCTTAAGTCCCATCCCCGAGGGAACAGATGGGGCAAGTAATTCTCCACCACCACCCCCACTCCCATCCCCCGGGCTGCCCCCCCCCCCCGAAATCTCCCTTCCTTCCTTCCTCCGTCTCTCCCCTAATAGCTCCCTTGTTCCTGCTGGACAAAACTAGCCCTTTGTGGCCGCTCTCGGAGCACCATTAAAAACAGGAATAGGGAAATTGTAAACAGGAGGCATTTGGTTTACAGGCCAAGGCATACACCCGGCCTCAGTGGTCTGCTTCATGGTAAGCAGAGAAGCAGACCCTTGTTGCTAAAGGGATTAAGAGCTGAGGGATTTTCTGAGGCTCTGCAGGGGCACCCAGCCAGCCCGGAGTGGGGGGCTTTGTAAAGAGATACCTGCATTACATACCTACAGGCGGAAATGGCCTCGTAGCATTTATGCAATCGGGGTAACGGGATACCGTGTCACTGCGGCATGAAGAAACCCAGCGACACAGAGAGCCAGGACTCGGCCACGGCTCGTTTGGCTGTTTTAAACGGCCAATCGGGGAGCCGACAAGGGGCGCGTGCATTTTCCCCAAGGTGATTTGGTTACTGCGGCTGTAATTCCTGGCGCTGAGGGTAATCGGAATAATCTGCTGTGTCGTACGATGTGTGGGGGGGGGGAGCAGATTTGTAATCATGGTAATATTTAATATTAGTAATTATGGAAAGGGATGTTTTTAACAGAAAAGCTTAGCAGATTCAAAAAAATTACTGAGCAAACAATCTCAGAATTACGGTAATTATATTATCACATAAAGGGCATGAATGTAAAACACACATAGCAATGAAAAAATCAACATCACCTTCACAACGGAATGAAAATGTATTCCTTGGACGATGTGGCCCTTTTCAAGTATGGGATCTCGATATATCCGAATCATCACCAGGAATTGTCCGCGGAATGACATAAACATCGAGGTGTCACGGCTTCTCCATCTGGCCAGGGAACGTGGAAATCTGGGGGAAGATCACGAAATGGTGAAGATGGTGAAGACGTATCAAGAGGAACCACCTATCCGTGAAAACAGGAAGAGCGGCGATTTGGTCGCCAAGATTCCTCTTCATTCTGAGGATTATACAGGTGCCTCACTAGACTTATGGAAAATGGACTACGCTTGTACTGGGTGGGGGGGTTGATTTTAATGAAAATGAATGAGAGCTAATTAATGTATATTTATTTTGAGGGGCTAAAGGACATTTTAGGTAGCAACCGCCCCTCCAAAGCCAATCCAGCAACACTTCTGGGTTTATGGTTCTGGGGTGTATTTTAGGAATAGAATTGAACAGGACCTTTATACCATACATAAAACACATGTTTCCCAAGACAAGTCATTTAATTGCTGTACTGGCCTCATAGCACCATACCAGCTTCTGAGTGAGAGCCGAACTCCTTGATTTCAAAAACACCATCGTCTGTATGCAGTCGGCCCAGAGCGACTTTTGCGCTGTTGCCGTGTTACAGTACGTGAGAAACGTTAACGGGAGTTTCCGCAGGCAGGCGACGTGCTCGTCTGGGAGCTCCACAGCAGAGGCGCGCGGACGCGGCTTTTCATGAGCGCTATCAAATCGCTCTTTGACTGCTTTTTCCTCCCGTTTCATCTCGCCTTTTCTCCCCCCCCCCTCTGTAGGACTGAACTTTCCATCCTCTCGACGGCTTTGAACTCCGCAATGGCTCTTTGAAGGGAAGTCGTAAAGAGCCCTTTTATTCATCCCCCACGTCTCGAACGGGCCGTCGCTCGGCGCGTGCCAGCCCAGACTGGCGCGACGTCCCTCATGCGTCCCCAAAAGCAGGCCACTCCTTGTGACAGCATCGTTACGGAGACCTTCTTCTCAGACGATTAACAATCTCCCCCCACTCAGAATCACCATCAGCATCATCTTACCAGTAGTCCTTCTATCCTCTATGGTGCGACAAATAAATCACTTGATTTCTACAGGAGGGGAGGGAGAAAGAAAAAAAATCAGCCATTGGAATTCCAAGAATGCTAGACACGCTGCAGATAGCTGCAGAAGCCCAGCTATGCAACTGGAAACCTGAAGTGGTATTTATCGGCCATCTACATCTCTGTCGCGGCGCTCGGTTCCCCCACCAAATGCCTCCTTCCCATAATACTGAGCGGCGCACCCAGAAAAGCTGTCCTCACGGGTGCCTGAACAGGGCTGCATTTCTAGCATGTTTCTCTTCTGACCTGTTTCATGGACTTTAAACATCCATGATGTACGACTTTCATCCAGCATGGGCTCCTGCCGTAGGCATTTCCAGGTCCTATTTATGGGGGCTTCAGCACTGTATTTTCACTGTATTTTTTGCCCCCCCCCCCGAAAAAAATTATTGTTCTAATTTCATTTTGTGATTTACAGAAAGGAGCATGAAAATCACCAAATCGGCACATTTACTGAGGGCCACTGGGGGTTAAATCCTACAATCGCTCCTGGTTCCTGCTATTTTATTTAAAGCAGATACCAGGCAGAGCTGGAAAAGAAGGTAACAGGTCAGAAAATCACCCGTTCAAGCCTGTCACATGACCCAGGGACCTTGAGCGAGTCCCCCATCTCTAGGGGCCCCACACGTAATTTTTATTATCACAAACCATACATCTGTGTCTAAATTGATTTTTTATCATTTCTGTTTATATTTCCCACTCAGAAAGTAATTAAGGCAATGGTTAAAATTATATATTCACTTGCTTTAACTTTTTAGCTACCTGCTAGGACCTGAAAGACAGCGGCCATTGATCAGGGAGACTTTCATTTCTGTTAGTAATATAATACCCTTCTGGTGCATTTTGCGGTCTGGCATGACTGGGGAGGAAGTCGCACCGGGCCCATTCACATCCACCCCGGAGAAGTGAGGACAAAATCAGCCTGATGGGAACAGGCACGCCTTCAGACGGCCCAGGTCCTGTAAGGAGAAAGGAGTGTCACAGGTTGATAAAGACTTTGTAGTTTTGGCATGCAGGGGGGGGGGGGGGGGTCTGCGTGCTTCGTACTGAGCATGTTTTTAAGGGGAG